CTTGTGCGGGTTGAGCTTCGGCTCTTTGGTCCCGACTCCCATATACACCAAGAAGAAGCGTACTCTTCTTGGTGTGTGTATCCTAAGCCCTGGAGACCTTATGGATTTGTAATCCTGGTTTGAATGTGTAAAAATATGCCTACATTTAAATTCTCATTTTTTATATTATTATTTAAGCTCAAAGTGAATTACAATAATTTGTCCAGAAAATCAATATTATTTTTACAGTTTTGTAGGAATATCTGTTTTAATAAACAGTTTTGTATGAATATCTGTTTTAATAAACAGTTTTGTATGAATATCTGTTTTAATAAACAGTTTTGTAGGAATATCTGTTTTAATAAACAGTTTTGTATGAATATCTGTTTTAATAAACAGTTTTGTAGGAATATCTGTTTTAATAAACAGTTTTGTAGGAATATCTGTTTTAATAAATAAACAGATTTTACGGTACGCAATTTGTTTACAGGTACGCAATAAATAAACAGGTTTTCTGTTTATTTAATGCGTCACCTGTGCTTGTTTTATAAATAGGTGGTGACGTCATACAAACAAGTATTACCAGAGTTGAACCTGACAACTTTTCCAACACAAGAGCATCATAAAAAACAGGAACGGTACCGTGAGCAACGGTACCAAAATATAAGGACAACCGGCAAATAATATCGAGTATCTATGGAATCTTCATAATTACCAAGAGTAACCGACCCATTACGTATATGTATGAATATGTGTATTAAAAACTGTGTAAAATAGCTTCACAAGATTGTTATTTACTTAGCTAAATCAACTATGGGATTCAGTTCCTGAACCCTTATGTTGTGCCTCTTTAAACCTTTCCAGCACCGCCCACGGGATGGGTATGGGGTCCACCACCGCCCACGGGATGGGTATGAGGTCCACCACTGCCCACGGGATGGGTAGGAGGTCCAGCACCGCCCACGGGATGGGTAGGAGGTCCACCACCGCCCACGGGATGGGTATGAGGTCCACCACTGCCCACGGGATGGGTAGGAGGTCCAGCACCGCCCACGGGATGGGTAGGAGGTCCAGCACCGCCCACGGGATGGGTAGGAGGTCCACCACCGCCCACGGGATGGGTATGAGGTCCACCACTGCCCACGGGATGGGTAGGAGGTCCAGCACCGCCCACGGGATGGGTAGGAGGTCCACCACTGCCCACGGGATGGGTAGGAGGTCCAGCACCGCCCACGGGATGGGTATGAGGTCCACCACCGCCCACGGGATGGGTATAGGATCCACCACCGCCCACGGGATGGGTATTGGCTCCACCACCGCCCACGGGATGAGTATGGGGTCCACCACCGCCCACGGGATGGGTATTGGGTCCACCACCGCCCACGGGATGAGTATGGGGTCCACCACCGCCCACGGGATGGGTATTGGGTCCACCACCGCCCACGGGATGAGTATGGGGTCCACCACCGCCCACGGGATGGGTATGGGGTCCACCACCGCCCACGGGATGAGTATGGGGTCCACCACCGCCCTGAGGATGGGTATGGAATACATAATAATGACTAAGCTAACACACTTATACTGGGCGAGTAAAAACTCTCCTTCCTAAAATATTGTAGAGACCCCTTGAGTGCGACCATCCCATGACATCCCCCTTGAGTGCGACCATCCCATGACATCCCCCTTGAGTGCCAGCATCCCATGGAGAAATGAACCTAAAGTGACAGGATCTAGAAGTCTCTCATTCCCCTGAGAGGAGTGAACCCCTTGTGAACCCATCGTCCGAGGGTGAGGGGATAATGCCAGCGGGTTGAGTCATGGCTAAATAATGCTGCTCCTGGAGCCCAAGAGCATCATCTTGTAATGATTCATCTGGTGGTCACGCTCGCTGCAACAACTCTGCAACTTGCAAGAGATGTCATATCGATGGAGAGCGTCTAAATTGTATTGGTAATTGTCTTTGTGCTTGTCTGAGCTCACAGGTGTGTGTGTGTGTGTGCGTACTCACCTAGGTGTGCTTGAGGGGGTTGAGCTTGGCTCTTTGGTTCCGCCTCTCAACCGGCAATCAACTGGTGTACAGATTCCTAAGCCTACTGGGCTCTATCATATGTACATTTGAAACTGTGTATGGTTGTTGTTGTTGTTAAAGATTCGCTACCTGGAACAAAAAGTTCCAAGTAACACGGGCTATGGTGAGCCCGTAGTTGTGTATGGAGTCAGCCTCCACCACATCACTGCCTAATGCATTCCACCTGTTAACTACTCTGACACTGACAAAGTTCTTTCTAACGTCCCTGTGGCTCATGTGGGTACTCAGTTTCCACCTGTGTCCCCTTGTTGTGTGTGTGTGTGTACTCACCTAGTTGTGTGTGTGTGTGTGTGTGTGTACTCACCTAGTTGTGTGTGTGTGTGTGTACATACGCCTCCATTCATCTTCACTTTCTTCCTTCGCTTATTACACCTCCTTCCCTTTGCATCCACATAATTTATCGTATTTTTTTTTCTTCTTCGTTCTCTTTGTATTTGCTTGCCTCTACTCCTCTATTATCACTCGTACTTCCTCTTATTATCCGTCTACACTCTTTCCTCTTCCACTCTTCCGTCCGTCCGTCCCATTAACGGTTTCCCTCGTTTATCCTTCTTCCATTTTACTTTCCATTCTCCCTACCAACCCTCTCCTCTCTTCTAACCTCCCCCCCCTTCCTTCCCATCCCCCCCACCCCCACAACCACCCATTATAGCACTGAGGGACACCTTGCCATGCCCAGACTCTGCCTATATAATACTCGAGAGTGCTGACGCCATAAACCATGAGGAACTCTATCAAAACTGCGAGTCAGCTGACTGCAGGCTGAGCCTCATGTCCACACCTGTCAGAAATCCTTCTCAAACGACCCATTTAGGGTAACAGGGGGTTAGCCAAGACTGTGTTGTTCATCAGGTGTGGGAGGCAGTGGGTGAGACCCACTGAGGCGCCGCAGACCAGAGTACTCTGCCAGTGTTGAGGACACGGAGCTTCAGGGAAGGGGACACCCCGTTTATGCCGGGCATGCACAGGGACACCTACTGTGCCTGACTCACCGTAACTGGCTCACCGTACCTGACTAACACCCCTCCTCCTCCCCCACTATTCCTGACACCACGTGCTTCCCTCACAATGCTGCACACGCCGGACCGCTCGTGTCATAATACTGGTGATGGCCGCCACGTCCTTGGTGGTAGTGATTCAGGGAGGAGACCAGAGGCTCCGGTGACTGGTCATCCGGATCCTTTGGTCTCAAGAACATCCACTTGGCTTGGTCAGGTTAGAGCCTCTCATCTTGCAAATCGGCGTTCGAATCCTGAAGATCCAAGTGGTTGGGGACAGTTTCTAGACTCCATTCCTCGCCTCCCTGCATCTCCGATCTTGTCCTCATATTCCTGCCGGGTGGTCCGTGGACACACAGGCTTGGCTTTCTCATCATAATTACTTAACCTGACCTTCCTGGTGTTGCTTGCGTGATGAGGCACATGGGCTTAGTCCGTCACGTGACGCGGGCAGGAATCAGCTACCGTGTAGCAAGGACTCGTTTGTCTACAGGATTCAGATGCGATATAACACAGCAGACATACTGTTTTTCTACTATGATACTCAGGAAGCATAGAATTAGTATCATAGGACTCGGCTGCCACAAGACTCAGCTGGCTGCTACTGTCAATCACTCATTTTGTCACTGCGTCACTCACTGCGTCCCTCAGCGCGTCAAAGCTGCTGACGGCAGCCAACTACAGCTGGCTGCTGCACGGTGTCGCAGATGGTCAAGTGACCTCACCAGCTTCAGCCTCAATACATCGTGACCCCAAAAAATCCAATTAACGCTGAAGAATTTCAATATGTGAGTGTAACTGCCAATAGTCGTATCCTCTGTTACTGACACAGGTGTAATTGATCACACGTTTGGTTTAGGTATTCTTAAATTAAAAAAATTATTTCCATTTCATATTTTTAGCAAGTTAATTGAAGTATTGACTTGAAGTCAATATTCACGCGGGAATATTGTATGTGTTATTAATCTTTCACGACATGACAGGTAAGACATTTTCACAGAAATCTTTAAAAGAGAAAGTGTGTTTGTTTGTCCAAGGTTGGAGGCCAAGAGCTTAGGGTTAGCCTCACCAAACTTTGCAGAGTGACTTGTGGGTGTGGCGGGATGGTAATAAGAGGGCCCGGGTTCAACTCTAAGGCATCAAGTCAGTGGAAATGAAATGTTTGAGGCCGAGTCCATAGACGTTTATCAATTGTTTATATATAACAATTGATAACACTCTTCCTTCGAGACCAAGCAGAAGAGTGATAATTATTAAATACAACAATTATTATAATAATATAATTAATTAATAATTATCACTCTTCCTTCTCTTGGGGCTCGTGCGGCCCCAGGCTCTGCTTCAGGAGGTCGTTCTTGCCCTTGATGGGGTGGTTCTTCTCCGGCCCCGACTATGGCGGTCTCCGGGTCTGGAGTCCCTGTACCTTCTTTCACCAACTTCGAGATCAACTCCGGAGCTCACAGTTCCTGCGACGGCGCTGGAACCAATCGTATTGCTGTTTGCCTTTCCATTGGAGACTTTCGGGGCCGCGGAGAGAGGGGGGGACCTACTGCTTGGGTAACAGCTTCGCCTCCGCATCAACCTACCCTGACTTTGCGCCCTGGTGAGGCCACTCCAGACCGACAATTAGAGCGCAATACATAGTCTCCTGAGACTGATGGATGCTTACTGTTCCAGGGACTTGCTCTGCTTACCACATCATTCGTCATCTCTGGTGCATGAGTCGCCCCTTGAAAACCTCGTTGTCTTTCAAAATGAAACTTTATCTCTTGATATTTGATTACTAATAACTCATGCTGATAATTGATCTCACTGTTCCAGGTAGATTGTCACAGGTAGTGACAATCTACCATGCTGATGGTAGATTATGTATGGGGAAGGGGGCGCTGATGGTAGAGTGTGTTCTAGAGAATGTTTAGCCATTAATTTGGCGAATGTGTCGAGTTCGCGATGCAAGAGCCGACAAGAAGAGCGTGGGAACTCCTGATTGCATCCGCGAATTAATTGTGAATAATGACCAGAGTAACACAGCCTTCGAGGAAGTCATCAGGGAGACTCAGAGTCGCCGCTACACTGAACGATCACCTCCACATGAAGCCACTGTAGTATCGTGTACAAATTAATTTACCTAGCTGAGCCTCCCAGAAGAACAACGATTTAGTATGAAACTGAAAGTCATTAAAATATTATATATATTATATCTGCTATTAAGCTTCTTCTAGAGGATATCACGCTATCCAGCGCTCCCAAGATATAATATATGATTTTACAACAACAACAAGCTGTAATTACAACTTTAAAACGAAGTAATTACAAACTTAACCTGTTGCATCGCATAATTAATTTGTGTGTGTAATTACCTAAAGTGTAATTAAGTGTAGTTACAGGATGAGAGCTATGCTCGTGGTGTCCCGTCTTCCCAGTACTCTTTGCTGTAACACTGTAACTACTGGCGTTCTTGGCCTCCGATGCCTCAACTCTTCCAATTGTCTTCAACTCTCATCAAAAAAGATTACTTTTGTATAGTTTTTTGATCACCTTTATTTAGATGCAGATTTAAAAAAAATACAGTTTGTCAATTGAATCGATTTGTCACTGTTGAACATATCATACTTCTATCCGTCTGCCAGTGTTATAATGTGAGTGTGTGTGTGAGTGTGAGTGTGTACTCACCTAGTTGTGTTTGCGCGGGTTGAGCTCTGGCTCTTTGGTCCCGCCTCTCAACCGTCAATCAACAGGTGTACAGATTCCTGAGCCTATCGGGCTCTGTCATATCTACACTTGAAACTGTGTATCGAGTCAGCCTCCACCACATCACCCCCTAATGCATTCCATTTGTCAACCACTCTGACACTAAAAAAGTTCTTTCTAATATCTCTGTGGCTCATTTGGGCACTCAGTTTCCACCTGTGTCCTCTTGTGCGTGTTCCCCTTGTGTTAAATAGACTGTCTTTATCTACACTATCAATTCCCTTCAGAATCTTGAATGTGGTGATCATGTCCCCCCTAACTCTTCTGTCTTCCAGCGAAGTGAGGTTTAATTCCCGTAGTCTCTCCTCGTAGCTCATACCTCTCAGCTCGGGTACTAGTCTGGTGGCAAACCTTTGAACCTTTTCCAGTTTAGTCTTATCCTTGACTAGATATGGACTCCATGCTGGGGCTGCATACTCCAGGATTGGCCTGATATATGTGGTATACAAAGTTCTGAATGATTCTTTACACAAGTTTCTGAATGCCGTTCGTATGCTGGCCAGCCTGGCATATGCCGCTGATGTTATCCGCTTGATATGTGCTGCAGGAGACAGGTCTGGCGTGATATCAACCCCCAAGTCTTTTTCCTTCTCTGACTCCTGAAGACACCACCTCCTGTGTGTGTGTGTGTGTGTGTGTGTGTGTGTGTGTGTGTGTGTGTGTGTGTGTGTGTGTGTGTGTGTGTGTGTGTAAGTACACTCACCTTGCCGTATTTGCTAATAGCCCTTAAGGTGTTCTCTTTAATACCCGGTGCTTAACATGGATACTAATGAACAAATTCACAAGAGCCGTGACGAGGGTTCATGGCCCTTGTGGGTGTGGGTGAGTCAGGTGTGGGTGAGTCAGGTGTGGGTGAGTCAGGTGTAGGTGACTCAGGTGTAGGTGCCTGATTCACCTACATCAGACGCAGGTTACCTTAATGAATGCACTTGTGTGGTGCGTCGCGGCCCCCTTGAGTCGCACACTTCCAAACGGGCGCTTCCTGGAAGCCTCGGAAAAGGCAGTTTCCTCGTGGCTTTATTTCTCTCGTCTCCTGACAGTCACGGTTGAGGCTACGCTCTCCGGTGAGGGGTCAAGACTTCCAGGAATGACCAGCAGGTGTCTCGTGCGGGGGTTGTGACCTGTCTGCGTTGTACTCGTATTGGTGACCTCTCTCATGATGATGATGATGACGATGAGTGGTGTTTTTAGTCAATTATTTTGAGTTATCTTAGAGTCATTGTTGGAAGACTCGAGAGCAAGTTGAGTTGCCTCTCACAGAGGCAGTGTTAATGTAATATACTATTTTATTTGCCCGAAACGCCGCTATGCGTGCTAGTGGCTTTACGAGAATGTAAAATCAACTTAATTTCTGTTCTCTGTTAACCCTGAATGTACCTTCTTGTATATAAATTAATAAATATTTTCAGTTGTGCTGATGATCTAGATCTACTTCTACTGACAACAAGATATCAAGGAAAACTTTATAGAAATACGTGAAAGATATTGTGCAGAATAAAACCCATCGTCCATTTTTTTTAAGATATATACAAGAGTTGTTACATTCTTGTACAGCCACTAGTACGCGTAGCGTTTCGGGCAGGTCCCTGGAATACGATCCCCGCCGCGAAGAATCGTTGTTACAACCAAGTACACATTTTACTGTTGAGTTAAACAGAGGCTACAGTTAAGGATTAAGGATTAATTCTGGCACATGTTCTATAGTTCCCTTTAACTCACAAGATTCGTGTTATATTGATCTTAAACTAAAGTTACTAGGTAGAGAACTTCCTGTAAAGTATTCTGAAAATCATCTGGAGTGTAATATTATGGGACCTCAAAGGTCCCACTTGTGCTCTAATGGTAAACTATACTTTATTTTTCCAAGGTATATCACCTTTCAAATTATAAGTTGTTACTTTATGTAAAAAATGTAAAAAAGTTGGATTTAGCCTCCTGTACACCAGTTTAGTCCAATCATTATTGTAATGATTTGAGCAAGTTGTCTACGAACGTAGTTTCTGAGTCTGAATTTGACAATCATAATAGTTTTTTTTTTTAAATCACGAATAAATATAGTTTCTAAATCTAAATCTAGATGTTGAGTAAAGAGTATATAATTATGATTATTCCATGGTATTATCTTAGGTATATAATTTACTGTCAACTTGTGTAAACTAACCCAGGTGTAAATGTACGAGCGGTTACGAAGAAACTATTTGAATTTGAATCTGAGTTCGTTGGTGGTAACGGCTTCTCCGAGGGAGCCATTATGGCGCCATGTGTCGGAGTTTCCCAGCCATGATGTGCCTGCCGCCGCCGCCGCCACACTCATCACGGGGGCAGACAAGCTGGGATCTACTGGCACAAGGTGAACAGCTCACCTGCTTATCAAACAAGCCACGCGGGCCTGTGTGCGCGCGTGCCATTCTAATGGCGCGTCCAGGAATTGAGGAAGATCTACTGGAAAGCGCCTCTACATACTCCAGACTCTGATGCTATTCTTTTACTTGTGCTCTTCTGTGAGGTGTTCAGTTCTTGTCTTGAAGTTGGGACTTGTGCTTTAATCATTCATTTTTTTTCCAATACAGTCGCAGTGTTGAGTAGTCGAGTATTGAGCGGTTATTATATTTGCTCACCTTCGTGGCTAGAGCCTGCTTGTGACTTCTTGTTCAGCTTATCTTTACATTAAGCACTGTAACTTTCCTTAGCTTGTCTATGCGTCTCAGTATTTCACACACCATGGTCGGATTTTTTTAGGGTTCCATGCAAGTGCTGCATATTCGAGTACTGGCATACATAGGCTGAGAGTGGCGTTCTTGGCAGAATCCATGTTAACATTCCTCGTATTATTTATTATTTGTAATCTCCGACGGGTTTAGCTGTCTTACGCTACACGTATAACGGTTCTTCTGGCGTATGTCTCCTTCACCTAGTCTCACAACCTTACACTTGTTGCTGTTGAACTCTAACAGCCATTTGGCTGACCACTGATGGAGTCTGTTTAAGTCTTCGTACATCACTTAATGTTCTCTCACTTGCAGGCGATGAGTCACAATAACGTGGCTGAAGTATGTTGACCAGACCACACACTAGAAGTTGAAGGGACGACGACGTTTCGGTCCGTCCTGGATTCTCAAGTCGATTCTTGAGAATGGTCCAGGACGGACGTAAACGTCGTCGTCCCTTCAACTTCTAGTGTGTGGTCTGGTCAACGTTCTCTAACTTTCTCTATTCCACTCATACCCTCAGTACCATTGGGAGTGACGGAAGGTATTACTTTCCTTAGTGGGTCGTTGACACGATGTGTGTGTGTGTGTGTGTGTGTGTGTGTGTGTGTGTGTGTGTGTGTGTGTGTGTGTGAGGAAAGTTGAAGCATAATGTACAATAAAAATGAATGAATGGAAAACCCGAGTGCGTGCACTGGTACACCATCACTGACACACACACACGGTGGCGAGGTGGGGGGGGGGGCAGGTGGCTAGGTGTGGAAGGGAGGAGGTGGGACAGAAACACAACAATGACATTATTATGCGAATTTTGTACAATGTCAGTAGTGACTGATGTCACTGGCTGCCTACTGAGAGATGCCTGTAAATATGATGTACAGTGACGTCACTGGCTCACAGAATTGATTATTGGCCAGCAGTCCACCACGTGACGGCCACATGGCATCCCTCATAACACTACTCTACGTAAGTACTGGTGTATCCGAAGCTATACAGATATCTGTATCGCTTCGGTGTAGTGTATATCTATCTACAGTGTAGATAGATATACACAAACTCACCCTTTACAAGACAACAGTGACACCAGAACAAGCTGTTAGGTATTGACGAATCTGACGCCCATAAATCATACTATTCTTCTCCCGCTGGATGAGTAGGCGATTTGGCAGGAGTAAGGACCTCATCACATCAGACAAAGGATCAACAATGCACTTGGTAAGGTTACTCAAGGGGAAGGTGCCGTTGCTAACGTGGCCTGGCTGGCGTTGTCCTCAAGGCTACCGGCTCATGCGTTGTTGGTGAGCTCATGTAATTATGAGGGGGATAAAACTAGGTCTGTATGCCTATACAACCCCATACTCCTAAACTGAAAGTACTTATAGTAACTATTTGGTAGATAGTACCAATATGTGGTGATGGACCACCAGAAAGTACCAATAAGTAGTGATGGACCACCAGAAAGTACCAATATGTAGTGATGGACTACCAGAAAGTTCCAATATGTAGTGATGGACCCCCAGAAAGTACCAATATGTAGTGATGGACCACCAGAAAGTACCAATATGTAGTGATGGACCACCAGAAAGTACCAATATGTAGTGATGGACCACCAGAAAGTACCAATATGTAGTGATGGACCATCA